ACGCCACCAGGCTTACACCACCACCCTGATACGGCAAATGTTGTTCGACGAAAGGCGACTGGTAGAATCCGCTTCCTTCACGTCTACGCCCAGGCGGCAGAACAACCAAAGTCCTACACTCTGTTTCGCTCCTACAAGATCGACAGCATGATGCCTCGCCCCGAACGTCTCAAGCGTATCTCAATGCAGCATCTTGCACCATTATCGCGTCTCCGCAATGTGGGCCAGCACGGCAGCAGCCCGGATGCTGCTCATATTGAGCCTTCGTACAGAACACAGGGCGATCAGCTAGACGGCATGATATTTGCCTTGTAAGCATAGCGAGGGATGGGCGTAAGAGGATGACATACGGTCTCTAGTCTGATGAGCGTGTCCGCCGGACGGGACACCGCATGTTGCGCAACCAGATGCACGAGGTTCGTTTGGCATTCTTCGGTTGGAGAGGCGCTCGTTCGAGCGACACAGAGGTAGTCCTGGAGTAGATCAGAGTATAAGCAGGAGACAGCCGGAGTCCTCGAAGGAAGCGGGACTTACGGCGGGGCTGTAGTCTCGTCAAATGCCGGCACCAACAGCGATAGACATTACCGGTACGGATAATGTCATGAAGAGCACGTGAACCTGCGAAAATAAGCTTGCGACTAGAACACCCACACTTGTCAGTGTCATAACATCGATACCTAAAGATGAGTGTGCATATACCCACATATGGCGGCTTGGAAGTCCGTTGCGCGTTCGACGAACGAGGGCGCGATGCAGACAGCGCACGCAAGACCTGCTTGCCTGCGTACTTTTACCCTGCAGTGGCCCTGCATAGCTGGCCAGCTCCTCCAGGCTATGCGTCTGGCCGTCCTCGAGCGTGATTTAGGTCTGCGCGTGAAAGCGTTGTGAGGCCAGAGTGCAGTCGTGCTTCGTGTTTGGGTATGGGGCTTAGAAGGCGCGAGCTGGAGATAAGGTAGTACCATACCGGTAGCCATGCATTGAGATGCTTGCGCAAGGATGCCGGAAGTGATGTGCAGCATGGATTGATTCAAACGCCGCAAGTTGTAGTGTCGCCTGAACGAGTGAAGATGAGTGTGGCCACGGAGATCTTTGTTAGGTATCGAGACGCACCTCCAAACACTCTCCTCGCTCAGTCACATGTGCAGCCCTTCCGCCATAGCGCCCAACATCCAGGGCGACGCGCCTAATCTCGATCGACATCGTTCATAGCGGTCGGACTGTGAGGGAAGTGGGGCACACCAAGATCTGAATGGCACAGAGATCTGTTCGTCAGGATGCGTGCAGAGAACGGGAATCGCTGTAGCTCACATTGTAAATATTCTGTTGAGTCGGTACCTGAAAGCCGACGGATAAGTCGTTGATGTAGCCGTCGTCGGCCTTTGAGATAATAGTGTAGACTACGTTGAGTGGGGCGAGTGTCTGACGGATTCTGAATGGCGCGATACAGGTTCAAGATGAGTATAGCGACCGCCAGGCAAACAAAGGTTTGCGCACCTCGAATTTCCATGAACGCGCGCTGCTGGCGATGGTTGCCGTCCAGCCAGAGACATGTCGCCGCAAAAGTGGCTGCAAAGAACGCCTCGTGAGAGAAGCAGGGAAGCTCGAGAGCCGTGAGCAATGCATGCACAGCGGAGTGACAATGTTGCTTGTGCTCCGGTCGTGGTGTGTCGCTGGTGCGAAGACAAGGACGGGCAGCTCTGAAAAACCTAAACGTGCCGTGTTTAGCACGAGTCACGTGCGACTTTCGTCGCGTAAGCGCCTTGTTATATGTCGGAAAATTCTAGACCATGCAGGTTCAAACGTTCAACGTTCCGAAGGCCTTCAGGTCCCAGGCGGAAGATGAACGGTTCAGTTTTGTATCGTCGAAGGATTGTTGTATTGAACATACGGTACGCATATTCGTGCTGCTTGACCTGACCTCTGCTGAGCCGGTCCACCAGTTACGATAGTGTGCACTTCATGTCAGGATCACCCTGTACTTCGTCTTTCAACTTCCCCTTCCCTAATCATGAAAGCGCGACATACCTCCCAATCGCATGCGAACGTTCGATTTAGAGACTCGTCGCAAGTACAAGGCTTTAGGTCACCCCGGGGGGAACGCTTTACAACGTTCACAGACGAGACGAGCGGACAATGTCGGGAGGGTCTGGACAACATTCAGATGCGTCCCCTGTCTTTTCGACGCTGGAAGAATCCAGCTCAGCTAGTGAACTTCAAGCATGCTGCTCATCGCCGTTTCGGTCGACGGCCACGCTCCAAATTCGCGATCTCCAAGCTGATGGTCCAAATCGTAGCCTATACGACAAGTGTACGCAGCGGAACTCGCCACTCGTAGAGCCATGCCACTCTTTGCGCCTCAGGCATTCGCACAGCTGATCAACGAGTTCATCAGCGACCTCTTCTTCACAAGCCTCGTCCTCGGTCTCGCAGCCGCGTTGTTCGACGATCTCCCCAAGCAGCGGCACATGCGGTGGAGCTCACCACTT